TTTTTTTTAAAGTCCCCCCCATACATACACGCATGCAAACAGGCGTCGGGTGCGTATACGTGTGAAAACGACGATTTCGCCCATTACGCCGCACATGTTACATATCGCCGCGAACGTCGGAATGAGAGCAATAATTGTAGGGCTATCAATCACTGATAACACTAAACTGATGAGCGGTAAAAGCTTTTAAAGCTTCACCTATGGTCAATTTTGGGCATAGTAATTTTTTGCGATTTCGCGGGTGCGCGCAATTTTAAAGCATGACATGTTTGGTGTCTATTTACCTGACGTGACCCCACTTTTTAGATTTTACCAAAAATATGGGTAATAAATGGGTGTGGTTACTGGGGGTGTGGCCACTAAAGGGTGTGGCCACTGAGGGGTGTGGTCACTGAGGGGTGTGGTCACTGAGGGGCGCTGTAAAGCTTTCTCGCACAGGGCGCCTAAAGGCCTAAGGCCGGCCCTGGCTCTGTAGGCCTAAAAATTCCTTCTAGGTACACACTAAGTGCATTGGTTGAACCTGTACCTTGATTTGGCATCTAGATTGCATTTTGACAGATGACAGCAAATACCCAGATTTCTACCTGATCAAAGGAAGTAAAATTTTAAGCCCTGCAGTTGGGCTTATCATAAATTCATGTTTTGTTTTTGTTTTTTTCCTGTTAATTTTTTATTTTTTTTAGTCCCCGTTAAATGCTGTGGTATTTCATAACCATACACTGCTGTTATCATCTGAACATGACTGTATGTACAGTATGTATGTATTGTATGTATGTATGTACCTGACATCGTGTGTGCATAGGTACTTTTGAAAAGAGTTTTGTGGGTCGTATGTAGATCCTATGGGGGTGATTTACTAACCTAAACACACGACCGCACCAGGTGCGTGTGATTTTTACACAGCAAAGAGTATTTATCAACCAAAAAGTCTCTTTAAGCATATTTCCACTAATGCCATATATGGAAAAATCATGCACATGATGCATATATAATGCTGCTTCACAGTTTAGACAAAAATGGTTAGCTCATGCATTTACATTCCTGCATTCATCAACGCAAGCAACACAACATAGAGCTAATTTACACAACATCACCTTGCAATTTAGGGCAGGGCTTTGCACAAACCACCCATAGATCATGCTGGGAGGGAACACACTACAGAGGTGTATACATGTTCGTGGTGAGTTTATAAGGTTAGTAAATCAACCCCTATATGTCAGCTCAGAAAACCTGTTCACATTTCAAAACATTCACAAAATACATCAGATCAAAATGGGAAAAAAATCTCCTGAATTAGCTGTGTCTTTGAAGGGAACACGAGTTCGCTGAGCTGGCATAAAGGCTACTTTAGTTAATCATCCCCCTAGTTGAATATTTTCAGTGGTAGTAAATACATTCTCACACAACAGCAAGCACTTTGTGGAAAGTGCATTTCAGAGGCTGGTATTGCTGTGCAGCACTTGATTGTTGTCCATGTCATAGCCATTTGACATAATGAATGAGTTGGACACACCTTCTCCCAGAAAAGCTGCTTGTCTTATCTAGCTGGAGAGCTCATATAGCTGCACCTCTAAGTACAAAAACTACTCAGCAACATTTTGCTGAAGCAGCCAAAGCACAGCTGCTTTATTAAGAAAAGAAGCTGGAAACCTGAAGATAACTTTTTAAGGTCTAAGCCTTGTTTAAGATGATGTCTGGAGTTTTGTCACCTCATTCAATGAGCTGGAACTTCATGGGATATTCAACATCAGTCCACCATACAGCAACTCCTCATGTTTATGGGGGTCTGGGAAGAAGTTTTCTAATAGATAATCTGTTGAGAGATGTGGAACAACCTGCTACAAAGTATGTCCCAATAGGCTACAGCACTTCGTCAGTCCCTCTGTGTCCTGCAGCTGAACAAATTAGCCCATCAGGGGGTACACATCCTACATCTTGGGCTTTTCACCTCGTTAACCCATCAGATGGACTGCCTGCTCATTTTGCACATACCGAGGCCCTCTACCACCCTAATTCAGGTATGTTTCTAATATTTACTAGTTTATATAAATATAGATAGTACATCAACTTTATTTACAAACCCTGAAATCAGTGTTGATAAAAAGGGTTATCCATACTTGGGCATATTTTGTTTTACAATAATATTAATCCAATTACTGTTGAATATGATATACAAATTACGATTGCCAAGCATTTATAATGGCCACAGGATCTATGATTCGGAAATTATTATTTGCTCAGAAAATGCCCAGACTACTGGAGAAAGTCTGCTTTGCAACACCAGGTTTTTGACCTGAGAAGACTTGTTTTTTTGACATTTTACACTGGCCAATTATAGCCAATGTCACTTTAATCAGTCTCATCACTTACAGGAATTGCAAAGTATTATTTCACATAAGCAAGTACCCAAGGTTCACAGGTCACTGTCATATTTCTAGATACATTTGTAGTAACAACAATAATAATTCTACAAAACAGAAGTAGTAGTAGTCACATAGAAAGAAAACTCACAAACTGATTCAAGACTTTTGGATCTGTCAAATCAGTGAAGAATTAAACAGTTTAGAAATCCGCCAATCACAAATTGTATGGTTTCGTACAGGTCTGACAAATATGTACACAATTTTAAAAATTTGCAGTTCACAAATTGGTCAATAACCTGTCTTTTAAACCTATTTGCTCCTCACTAATCACAAATTTGCTTTAATAATAATATTATAAAAACACTAGAGCACCACATCATCTGTAATTGGCAGAGGTCAAAAGATATTACTGTATAATATCTACATAATAGGTAATATATATTATATAGTATGTTGCCTCTGCGACATATTCCTTACAAAAAAATATTTAAGTTAACACTGCTATGTATAGATTTATTTTTTACTCTATACATAATACTATTCAGTACAGTGCTCTAAATTTGGGCACCAGTATGTTTGTTCATAAACTGTAAGTGTCCACATAATTCACACATAATTAAACAATAATATGATTAATTAATGGGACAATGATTTAAGGTTTTTCTGAAACAAGCCAATGCAACATCTGGCATACACCATCTGTTCTGAAATAATAATTGTATTCTTGTAGACATTCTTGTACACATAACACATGATACACAATTTGTGTAATACAGAAATTAATTTAGGTATGTTGTGTATTTGTATTATTTACATTTATTACAGTGCTTCAACAACATCAGCATTTTAAATGACAGTTTATGTATTTGCTATCATCTTGATGTTAAAACTCAAAGGCAATCTGTCACCTTTGAGCAAACATGGAAGAGCAGCAACTTCGTAATTTCACAACATAACATATTTTTGCTGAGGTTGTCAGTGCATAGATTAATATTTAATCGCAGTACTACATTCAGCAGTGTGAAAAGCCTGACTGGTTGCATCTACCAGGCCAATGTCTACAAAGTTTCATTAATTTAAAGTGTATGGAAACCCTAACAATAAACTTCTATTTGCTCCTTTTTGGTCTGCTAAATATCCTCTTAAAAATGTTCTCTTTTATCTGTTTAATACATGCAAAATAAACCTGTTGATCCTGCGCATTGTGCCTATACTGCATTTTAATAATTTAGCATTTTCCCCAGCTTTCTTGTTGGGCTACAGAACACCTCCTCCTATGTTATGGGGAAGAGTAGCTTTTTAACACACATCCTGTCTTAGGAGGACAATTCTGCCCTTCCATAGATAGAGTACAGTGAATGAGGATTGTCACCCTAGGACAAAAAGTGTTCCTGGCAGGATCACCAGGTGAAAAAGCCTGAAAAAGAAAACAACTGTAGCCACCATATCTCAGACATAATAAGCGGAAATATTTTTTGTTTTGTCTTAAATGGAGAATACAAAAACCAACAATTTCCATTGCTGATTATTTGGCAATGGAACCATGTCTTTGTAAAATAAAGTGCTAAAAAGCTGTGGCCTTGCGTTACCTACAGGCACCTGACAGACTAGGTGAAAATGTATAATTTTCTCTAATTAATGAAGAGCGGACTTTCATTAATAACATATTTTCCTTTATGCAAGGTGTTCAATAATTCTCAGCAGCTTGTATATATAATGTACAGTGTGAAGAGGTCCACTTCCATAGGTCCAGTTCAATACATCTTCTATGCAGCTGGTTTCTTTCTGTAAAGTGTCAGAAATGTAGATTAAAGACACCATTACTCATTAATTAACAGTACCTATGTGACTTTCAAAGTAAAATTGATTTCTTCTGCATGTCAGCCTCTTCTACAATAATGACATGATAGAAATACCTAGTGCAACTGCAAGATCATAGATGTAGACATAGTATGAAACACAATGATTTATATCACTATATAAATATAATATGTATACGTTAACAAATAATATTAAGCTAACTTATGAGTATGTATTCAAATATATTTTGAGAAGTGAATTATAAATAACAGTCTCATTTTGCTATATTATTTAAATGTTATGATTCGTTCAATATAAATTTGCAAATAAGGCAAAACCAATTTTCTTTGTAAAGAAAAACTTTTGAATGACTACTTATATCTACGAGGGCTCCAAATGGTTTCCAGTTGTGTACCCCTGCAGCAGCCCAAAGAGAAAGAAAGTCCAGCACTCCCTGTTGGATTTGTAATATATTTTATATCCGGGAAAAGATATAGAAGCAGTTGTAACACCTAAGACTAGGTGAGGGAACAGAGCCAGGAGCTATAGCAGATCTCATCATGGGATCTTGCTTCCCCATTAGTGTCTGGCCAAAGGTAGTTTACTGTACCTTTGTGGCAATGAGTGACAATGTTTGTTAATGCGCTTTCGTGCTGCAACTCACCTTCCCAGTGCACTTGCATTGCATCACACCGCAACTCAGGGTAATACACTACTATGCATTGCATTGTGTTGATAAAAATCTGTGCATTTGTGCTTGAAGCGCTCATTTAGATGACAGAATGTGCATTAATGTGTGTGTGTGCTAAAAGCAACACATAAATACAAATGGGGCCTGAACTCAAAATGTAAGATTTGCTATGCTACATCTAGAAGTGTTAATTGTACCTAAGTAGTTTCCCCTAAAAATGTACTGTTTGTCTGCAATCCTTCTAAAAAATAACAGTGCACTTCCTGTTATGTGATGGTGCCTAGGCACTTCTGCGCATACAGCCTTGAGCTCTATATCACCAGTTTGAGATCTAAGACACTGCTGCTCTGACTGCTAGTATCATGGGATTTGGAGAGAGATTTAGTGATGTCATTACGGTGCTGCTCACTGCTCTCCTTTTTGGAGTCTGTTACATGACGAAGCAAAGCCCTGCCTCCAGCAAAATGACCACCTCCACACTCAAACACAGTGCAGAACAAGACATGGCTAGTCAGTAATGGGGTAGAGAGCTGCTGCAGGAAGACCACAGGCAATACTGGTGATTAGTCATTTGCCCTTCTGATTTATTTGGGCACAGCTTTCAGAGTTCTGTTATTCTTTAAAGTTAATTTACACTGTGACTGAAAGAGGGCACTTGGCAAGGATTTCTGGCTCAGGTCCCACATCCATTATAGTCAGACAGAGCATATATTTTAAAGTGACATTAAACTCAGGAGTTAAATCTTAAAAATGCATCCAAGTACCCTAACTATTAAAAAAATGTATCTTATTTGTGTATTACTCAGCTGTAGATCCTCAAATCATTTCTGAATTGGTGCTGACACTGTCCTTCCTTGTGGAGGGTGGATACTTTTGTTCCCCATGGTCCTTGTGTGTGTTGTAAAGTAGCCACCGCTCCAAACTCACTCCTGTGATGGACTACAAACTCACGTTTAGTTTACTAATTTGTTTTGAGATGACAGGAGTGATCTTGGAGACCCCTGATGACTCCATAAAGAGGACCTGTCATATATCTTTGCTATCATATAGGAGGGTTTTCTTATCCCCCTATGTGATAGCAATAAAGTTAAGTGAGAAAAAAAATGAAAGTTGCAAAAAAAATGAAAGTTGCAAATTTTTTTTAAAGTTACACATGAAAAAGAATAAAAAAAACATTAAAAAAATTCCCCACGCATACAAACATGCGTCGGGTGCGCATACGTGTGAAAACAACGATTGCGCCCATTAAGCCACACATGTTACATATCGCTGCGAACGGCGCAGTGAGAGTAATAAGTCTAGGGCCATCAATCACTGATAACACTAAACTGATGAGCGGTAAAAGCTTTTAAAGCATCGCATATGGTCAATTTTGGGTATGGTAGTTTTTTGCGATTTTGCGAGTGCACGCAATTTTAAAGCTTGACATGTTTAATGTCTAATTACCCGACGTGACCCGATCTTTTATATTTTACAAAAAAATTGGGTAATAATAATTGTTTCCTAACATAATGAAGAACAAACTTAAAAAAAAATTTCAGTAATTTCCCCATAATATAGTAAAAATAAAAGCCGCAGTGGTGATTAAATACCACCAAAAGAAAGCTCTATCTGTCCCCAATCTTTTTTATAAAATTTGTTTCAGTACAGTGTTGCATGACGGAATAAATGTCAGTCAAAGTACTGCAGCGCTAAATACTGAAAAATGGCTTGGCCAGGCAGGGGGTGTAAACACCTGGTCAGCAAGTGGTTAATGAACTTTTTGGCCAGATTGTGAGGCTCATCTATTGTCTATGGATCGCTAACAGACACTGATGACTAAAGCTTATCTGGGGGAGGAGTGATCATACATGTTGGATAACCTATTATTTTCTTCCTAGAAAGCTGGCACCATAAGTGTTTACAGCACACCTAGCCCACCCCACAATACCACTGTTTGCATATGGTAGCCTTTAACTACCATTAAAAATTACACAATATACAGAATTTTTAGTAGAGGTGTTTTAGTCTTGCAAGGGTCATTGTTTTTTGCCAAATCCTGGCCATAGACACATTTCATTTCAGATCTTATCTGCAAGATCAATAAAATTTAATGACTTTTAATGTGAATGCCTACCATCATTATATTATAACATTTGCACGCAGAATACTTTATCAAGTAAAAATAAATATAATAAAAAGAGAATTAATAAATACTTTTCAGGGTAATTTACTAAGTAAAGAACCTTTATACACTTTAAATATCCAATCATGTGCAGTAGAACTTTTACTGCACACAGTTGAATATGGGCACATTTCTCTTTAAATGACTTCTGTAACGTTCATATATGCTGATATTCAGGTCTTATTCACTATATACCCTTCATTTGACTATGGTGGGATTTAATGACATTCAAGACCATAGGCATGATTGCAAGAAATAGATGTCTTTTATTAAGCTCTTGCCAAATAATCTATATTGTACTGAAAGTTTCTATTGTTCTAAAATATTTTACTGGTGAAATAAAAATTAATTACCATGTCCTGTTTCTACACTTTTTGCAGGTGTTTCGAAATACTTTTTTATGCAGTCCCTGCCCTTCTACCCGGCATGCTGTGGTGGGTCCTGTCAGCATCCTGCCTCCCCCACTGCTTTTTCAAGTAAGTCTTTATGCTTCATCAGTAATGCTTCAGTTATTTTGTAAACCAGAGCAGCAGGATTTAATGGGTCCAAGAAAGCTAATTGGTGATGCAATGGAAAGGGCCTAATTCCTAAGAAAAATCACAGCAGTCTCATTCAGTGTCTCTTCCGAAGATTTATGCTATATGAGCGCTGAGAACAATTGAAAATACTCCAAATGGAAATGAACCAAAGAAGAAGTTAAGCGCTTCCTTGCTCCAAAGAAATAAGGAACTCTCTTATTCACAATGAACACAGTTCTTAAAAGGCAAGGATGTATATAATAATAGTTAACAGTTAAATAAAAAAATCGTAAAAAACAAAATAAAAATTACTGTATACATAAAATTTTTATTGATACTTTGAAACAGATATTTATTTATAACTTAAAATCTATATAAATGAATAACAAGAAATGCAGTCTTCCCAGCACACACGTGAAGGCAGGAGTATAAAATAATCTTTATAAATTTTGTTTATTACTGAATTTATACTTATACAGGCTCTTGAAGTATTATCTGTGCCCTTTGGGAAATGTTAAGATATTACATACCGTGTGTAAACAGAAGACCACTGATGAACAGCCTATAAAAATAGCCTAACATTAAAATGCCTCATTTTAAGCAAAATTGTATAATGGATAAAATAATAGTTCAAACACCCATACAGGTATAATACAATAGATCTAGGATAAGATAAATATTGTTTATAGTGTTTAGCATTTTGTAGTCCTAACTTACTATATCATATCAAACATTACTTATAAACTCAAGTTGATTATTGTACTGTAGTATTAATCACAATTCTTTAAGTTATTGTACAACGTGTGCAGACAATATATTTTAATATTGCAGGCATTACTATATTTTGAAAGATAGTTAAAGTGAATGATTCGTGGCAACTGATGCTGTAAACGGTACTAGTTTAATGACCTGCAGGCTTACGGTCATCTCTCAAGGGGCTGACACTTTCCCACAGAGCCTCTCACTAGGCCTGGGTTGCATTAGAATGGATGACAGGACCGTGACCAATCGGCACTTTCTCTTTACTCATCCACACGCGACTTAACCACAATTTTTCACTGTGCAGATGAACTTTAGGAACCATTTTATGCTGAAAAGGCCTTACCAAGGGTCATTTGCCCTTTTGTACTTCCATAAAGCAGAGATCTATATGCAATCTTTTATCCTGTGTCACATTCCAATGGAAACTCTGAACACCATTTAAATACTTGACTGAAAAATAAAGCAGTGAATGAAAATGACTTTTATAGACTCCTTTAAGCTCATCTTCCCCTATAAGGTCTCCTACCTGAAAAGGAATTAGAAGCGTGAGATGTGAATATAGAGAAACTGGCTGAATACATAGGTCCCATTATCAAGTGCCAGGACTGTTTATTAACCCAGAGCAATGCACATTTCTCAGTGTCCTATTAATTGTCCATTTAACAAGGAGGTATTGAAGGACCATGCAAAAATGAAAACCATGACTAAACCTTTTCCTCACCCCTTCAAGGTGGTCTTCTACAAAGTCAAATCAATATTGTTGTTTAAATAATAGAGGCATTTATTACTACAACTGTAGAGTGATCAGTAAATGTTGTCAGAGATTGTGGTACTGGTTTTTCAATGACTGATATATCCACTAAAATAAAATTATTTTCTTTTAAATAATTATTTATTTTCTTTGTAAACAACTTTTCCATATTTTGCTGACACTTTTCCATCAAAGTCTTCCATTTATACATTATTAGAGTTTCCTTAAACTACAAATACCTACAAGTCAAACACCTACAGAGGCTACCGCAGATCTCAGCACCTTCTGAAAATGCTAGTTGCCTGCCTATCATACCTATTGGCCTATCAGACCAACCACAACCAATGATAAATGCTACTATAAGTTAAATTGGGTTGCAGAGTTCTGTATGATCCTCACCCGTTTTCTAATTTCAGTGCTGGGACAAGGCAACATCTCAGTTATTTTCAGAAGCTCAATTGTATCCCAAGATAAACATATTCATGGATACTTGTAGAAATTTGTTAATAGAGGCTGTAGAAGTCACAATAAAAAACATTGGCATACCAAGGGAAGGATTCTCCATTTTACTGGTGCTTAAAGTGACATTAAACCCTCAGATTTTTTAACATAAAACAATACTGTAATGTGTGCCTTACTGTAATCCATGGTTGTTTCCCTTCTCTTTGCTGCTCTTCCTTTTAAATCTGTATCTGTTCTCATGCTGGGCAGAACTTCTGTTTTGCAGCAGACTGCCTTGTCTCAGGAATGGATATATGGTGCCTGTGTATAGGTTTGTATAGGTTTGTAACCCTGAGCCAGCACTACAGGAAGAGGCCCTGAGCTGCAAAGGGAAGTTCTCCCCAAGCATGAGAAGACATGAGGATTTAAAAGGAAGAGCAGCAAAGAGAAGGGAAGCTACCATGGATTACAGTAAGGCACACATTACAGTATTGGTTTATGTTAAAAAATCTGATGGTTTTATGTCACTTTAATGGAAAGATTGCCCCATTTTTATGGGTGGTCAGTAGGAAGAATGCCACCCTAACTGACAGCTAAAAAGATAATTATGTCAGTGGTTACCTATCTGAGAGATGGGAGGAGAGGCTCCACTAGTGTCACACCTCCACGCTTCCAAGTTGTTACATTTTTTACATGGTTTGTATAGAGGAAATGAATCAAGTTTAGTAAATAGTTAAAGTTTTTACCTTATCAAGCATGCCTTATTCTTCTTATGAAAATTTACTAATCAAATTTTTTCCTTTGAAAGGAAATGAAAGCGAACTTTCTCTGTTACCAAACGATTCCAACACCAAGGTGAGACGTGTGATTTTGAGGCGGGCAGTTTTTTCAGATGATCAGAGGAAAGCACTTGAAAAGATGTTCCAAAAGCAAAAGTACATCAGCAAAACTGACCGAAAGAAGCTCGCTGTCAATCTTGCTCTGAAAGAGTCACAGGTATGTTGCAATATGCTATATCAGTTATTTCAGTACATATATATATAATAATCCACAATTTTGCCTATTACCCCCGCCCACAGACAGGTTGGTCAGTGAGCTTATTATGTTAGGGGTGCATTTGTAGCCAATGCAGTGCATCTCCAGAGAGATCCCATAAGGATGAAGGTTTGAGCTGACTCTAGTGCCCTCTGACTGTATCTATCTTCAAATTCTATTTTTATACATAACCTGTAAAGTATAGTAAATGGTGAATAATAATGTTGCCAGCCAAGAGAGCACATTTTTGAAAAAAACATCGGGTGATTTAATTTGGTTGCATTCAATCTGTGAACATTAGTGGGGAAGTAAGCTGCAAAATATTGTATTTTTTCCATTTGTTTGCTCATTTTCTCTATTAATAAAAGCAATTTTTTCATATTTTTTGACAAAGAAAGCCTTTTTTTTGTCATCTTTCATATGCATATCTTACAGAAAAAACCCAGTTAATTAATAATGATGCATTCCTTAAAAATACAGGTTTTTCTGATCATATACTTATAGCTCAATTTATTTGAACAGGTTAAAATCTGGTTCCAGAACAGAAGAATGAAATGGAGAAATTCCAAAGAAAAAGAAGTTCTTTCAAATCGATGTGCAAATGATGGACATTTGGAACAGAAAGCTCAGGCCAACCGTGTCTGTTCAAGTGACAGTGATTCCTCTGAAGTGCCACACAACAACAGGAATAAGGATAAAATATCAAGAAAGGCAGTACAATTAGTAGAACAGCTCAAACTTGATTGCACAGAGAAATCTCTTAGAGACTTAAAGTGTCATCAAGGCAAACTACACTTGCAGGACTTGAAGGATTTTTGATGGAACGATGTATATATACTGAAGCTTACTTTATCCTCAAAAATACAACACAATTTCAATGTCAAGAGCAGTGGTACTTTTAGAGGTTTTTAAACCAGTACATTAACAGTACAATTCCAAATAAAGTTTTAAACTGCTCATAGGGAAAAGTGCATACCTGTCCAGGGCTTCTCTTGTAATCCAGGCATTGCTATAGTATATCGGGCCATTCCATTTCTATAAAATAATCTTGTTACTGGTAATGTGGTGTTCTGAGAATAGCATGGGTTAAGATATCTTAAACTTCATGCCCAATGTCAATCATAATGAGCTCTTTACAATCTCTCAAACACATATAGAATACTGTATATAGAATGATGTGACCTGAGGAAACAGATTCATTTAGAAGCCCATACGGGATCTTTCTGGAATCTTGTTATACTCATTGACATACAAATTAGATTCAAAGGATATTCTGATTTAAGCACACTTATAAAAATTTTTTTTAGATAGGGACACAATTTACTGATTAGCTTTTGTCTGTTCCTGTAGCTGCTCTTTAAAGAAGAACTCCAAACAAAAACCATATACTCACAAAAATCCTAATATTATGCCCTGCAAAAATGTTGGTCCTTACTGCTATAGCTGGAGACATCCCCAGTTTAATTCCTTTCCATCCCTGAAATCATGAAAGTGGTACTTACACATGGATGGATGGCAAACAAAAACGTTGCTGATGATGGTCAGCCTTACATAGCCACTTCTTCTGCTCTAACCTGGTAACTGAATAGTGAAGAAGCAGCAGCACATGAATAGGGTCATCAGACCTCTCCCCTCCTGAATGCATGTTCAGTGTGTTTAATATTTTTGCCCATCATGCCCATGAGTAATGACCTTTCCTATCCTACTGTGAATCCTGCTGTACAGATTAATGAAGTCAGGTAAAATAAAGATAGAGTTCTGTATTTATACTAGTTTTTTTTAAATATTTGTAATAATTTTTAAATGACTACCTAACTGGATAAAATAATGTTTTGTAATATTGGCTAGACGTTCTACTTTAATCTGATTACTTCAAGAGCCTAAGTGCACAAATAACATTCCATCACTGGACAAATAGAAAATTGCCTTATTAATAATATTACAGTATGTTCATAATACCAAGCCTAAACTGCACATGGACCAAGACCATGCACATACATTACATATACAGTATCTTTACATTTCACAGTGGAAGCACTGCAATACAGCTCCTTTCCCTTGTTTTCTATGGCAGCTAGGGCTTGGAAGCATTCCAAATTGCGAGCCTTTTAATGTAAATAAAGAGCAGGCTTAGTTAGGCAACTGTCGGGTCAGTTAGAGAAGTCAGGGATGGCTTGTTTTAAACAACATTGGTAAAGAAATAATATTTTATAGTCAGAATACACTATCACACTAACTTCTACTGTAAACCTTCTCAATGTATATTTTACCTACTTGCCTTATCTATGTGTGACTTTTCTTCAACAAAAGCAAATTAATGTATCTACTGGGATCTGTTATAGCGAGGCTCGATACTGAATAACATGGTTTAAAAATGTATGGTTGTATATGTATAGGATAAATATATCAAAAGGCACAGCAGAAAAAGTCAAAATAAATGTATATGTATATTGCAGTGCAGTGATCGTATATCAGGGTTTTATGTGGCTAGATTTAAATTGAATGTACACACCAGGCAACATTTTAATGTGAGCCTTACAATGCATGCATGGGCAGAGCTTTTCTTTTTCACAGATATAACTGTAGTATACCAGATCATCCTTCTGCTTCTTGAACACTATCTTGTTGCTAGTAAACCAATGTTCTGGGAACACCAGTTCCAGGGAATAAGAATGTTCAAGCCAGGTGCTCTCAATCCCACCCACTGTAGTGCTCTTACTGTGACAAGAGGACACTTCCTACGCAGAAGAGCATTAGAGATTTTTGTTATGTAGCACCCCTGTCACAACAGGAGTCTCTATCTGAATGTAATTGTTGTCAGATTGTATTCAATCTGATACTGATCTAATAGTCTATGTTCATTTGGTTTCCCCTAAGCAATCTGTTATCATTTGCATCTGCCTGCTGCTGGGTGCAACCTTGCCACAGAGCAAAATAACAAATAGAGTGTTATGAATATCTATGTCTCCCTAGCCAATCAGGGCAGGACCGTGTCAGGGGGGAGGCTGCTGAAGACTGTCTGATCTGGCTTTGCCTGAAGCTTAGGGAGCTAAGCCATGTGCTCACACTGAGGACTGAGCCTGGGGCCTAGTGACAGAAACTGAGGATGAAGATGACAGAGAACAACTTCACCAGGTGTGGGGAGCATGAGTCTCTGCTGCAAGTCTCTGCTGCAACTTGAAAGTCTGTTCTAGAATGGACAAGCGGCTTTTGATGCAAGTACTCTGTTTTACAATTCATTGGAGTCTTCACTGTCCTGAGCCTTAACCCTCTTTTCCAGTTCTATAATAAAATTCTCCAGCATCATATCTTCAGTCTGGATCTCCGTTTTCTTGGTCACTACAGAATATGTTTAGTACATGTACCTTGCTCTTTTTAAGTTATACACTAAGGGGTCTATTCACAAAGCTGCCGAGGGCAGCCGAGTGAATGACCGATCAGAAGTGAAGTGAGCCGAACACCGTTCGGCTATACATTCCTGCCAGGTGAAAAGCATGACCTATTTAGATACTTGTTATTCTGCTCTGGAGCACAGCTCTGAACAGCTCTGGTCAAAGGTTATAATTAATTCTAATAAACGGAGCAGGTTAGAGGGACACTCTGGCTCAGTGGCGGATCTAAGGAACAAAGGGCCCTGGTGCAAGATTTTTTTTTGGCCCCCCCCCCCAAAAAAAACCCAAACACAGCGCTCTCCTCCCGCAGCGCTCGGCCGGTTCTCACTTTCTATCCTTCCCGCTGAGAAACAGAGCAGCGCCCAGCGGGGAGGAAAGAAAGCAATGATGCGTTGCTGTATACAGAGCTATCCAGCGGCCGGCAACTGTGCTGGGCCCCCCCAAAGGCTGAGGCCCCTGTGCCCCGGTAGTTCCGCCACTGCTCTGGCTCCCTTTTATGCTATGCTCCAGGATTCCATGGGCAGATGTAGCTTAGGCAGTCTGTTATCATACATTTACACCTACCATCAGAATGATTTTTTTCTTTCACTTTGAAATGATAAAACCTGTCAGCAATGCCCTTGATGGACAGCCATTATAAAGCTTTGTCCTTCATTACTGATTAGAGCCACTGAGCATCTTCAAGCTTATCAGAACTAAAATGTGCTCTGCTTTTTCCAACATAATACAGTATATTTGTATAGAATTTGCCAAATTTGATTTTTTAATGTGAGCATGGGATCACAAATACATTTTCGAAATCACATTTGTAGCAAAATCCATCTTACACTAGACACAAGTAGTGCTTAGATCATGTATATGTAATCTGACTTCCAGATTTTTAATTTGGGTAACATGGTACTGATGTGGTTAGCACTCATATCCTTGCAAGTTCCATATATTGCTTTTAATAAGCCTGAAGAAAGTAACAACATGTTGTGTTTGTATGTTTTCCCCCACACAATTCAACAACATACTGGTGGTTTAATTGGCTTATTCCCAAAACTGACCCCAGTGTGTGTAAGCTCCTTCAGAGGAAGGTACTTATGTTGATAGTTATTCCCAAAACTGATCCCAATGTGTGCTACTGTGGTAGCATGGTTGTAAGCTCCATCAGAGGTAGGTACTCATGTTGATGGTTATTTCAAAACTGATCCCATTGTGTATTACTATGGTAGCATAGTTGTAAGCTCCTTTAGATGTAGGTACTCGTGTTGATGGTTATTTAAAAACTGATCTCAATGTATGTAACTGTGGTAGCATGGCTGTAAGCTCCTTCAGAGGTAGGTACTCATGTTGATGGTTATTCCCAAAACTGATCCCAGTGTGTTACTATGGTATCGTGGTTCTAAGCTCCTTCAGAGGTAGGTACTCATGTTGAGTTATTCACAAAATTGAACCCAATGTGTGTAACTGTGGTAGTGTTGTAAACTCCTTCGGAAGCAGATGTTTATTCCAAAACTGATCCCAGTGTGTGTCATTGTGGAAGTGTGGTTGCAAGCTCCTCCAGTGGTAGGTACTCATGTTGATGGTTTTCTGTAAAGTGCTGCAGAAAAAGTGACACTCCTCTCCAATGGTGTCACAGACAAAACTAAATTTTTACTAGAGTGTGGAAGGGTCAGAACGTCTTTAAATGATTTATTGCTGTGTGTATCCTATCCCTATGTTGCGCTCACCTCCCTCGCTTTGTACAGGTGTCACAGGGACAGCAAGCATGTAAGGGGATATGTTTGCAGTGAGGGTCACAGAGAGAAACAAGAACCTGACAAACATTTTTTACTTTTACTCTATTAATCAAATGTTTGGCTGAAGCTGTTTTTTATAAGCAGTAAAAATTGACTCAACTGGGATTTCTGTTCTGATATAAGGGTAACCATAGGCAAGAAATGACAGTTGTCCATTGTGGACAATTTCAGTCATAATGAGTAATGAACGAATGTCTTTAAGCGACGTTTGTGATCAGCTGTGATCACTCAATATATATATAACACAGTTTAAACAACGTTATGTCAGCAAGAATAAAAGCAATACATGTATTTTCAGCATGTAAAATTTGAAATCCTCCATGATCATGGACAAATAAGAAAAAATATCTTTATGCACACAGCCACTATGCCCCAATACCCCACTTTCACTGTCACTTGCCTGTTCCAGCCTTTGATGTCTAATCCATTATTTCCTTTCCAAAAGCAATACCTCTGTGTGTCACCTTGAATCTTCTCACAGGCGATTTCCCTACTACTTTTAAGCAGTGTAATATTTTTCCACAGAATGAAGATGTTCCAGAAAACTAAAATCCAAAGCATTTGAGGGCCCGTTCACATAATCCTCATTGGACCAACATTATCCAACTCAGCTCAAAGCATGTGCAAGGCACTTTGCCTTGTTTCCTATTGTTTCACTTCACACATAAAAATAAATAAAAAGGTAAACAGTGCAATGCA